GTGACCAAATGTTACATTTAATTACAGATTCAATCAACAATGTATTTTCCATGATTATCTATGACTTCCTTCCATCTATTAACAAGCTTACTGTCAGGTCATCCCATAAGTTCTGTCCGAATTTTGAATAAAGAAAACAAGTGACCAAATGTTACATTTAATTACAGATTCAATCAACAATGTATTTTCCCTGATTATCTGACTTCTTTCCATCTATTAATAAGCTTACTAATTCCATTACTATAAAATTTTTTTTTGCTTTGATTCGAAGAACTCACAAATGTCAGTTTTAACCTCTTCCTGTGTGACAAAAGCTGTTTCTTCCAAATGATTCTGTAAGCTACGAAACAAATGGTAGTCTGAAGGAGCAAGATTGGGAGAATAAGGTGGATGAAGAATTTTCTCCCAACCAAGTTCTTCGATCTTTTGTGACGTGATTCTTGCTGTGTGGGGTCGCGAATTGTCCTGATGAAACATCACCTCTTTTCGATTCACTAAAGCAGGTCTTTTTTTCCTCAAGGCTTGCTTCAAACGCTCTAATTGCTGACAGTATATTTGAGCATTAATTGTTGCATTAGGTGGTAAGAATTCAAAGTGGATTATTCCTTGGCGATCCCACCAGATTGAAAGAAGAACCTTTTGCCCATGAAGTTCCCTTCTCGGCTGTGGCTGGGGTCCTTACCATTTACAATGCTTAACATTTCGATAAAAAATCCATTTTTCGTCGCCAGTCACAAGTCTATCCAAAAAAAGGTGAAACAAGTTGGCGAGAATGGAGAGAAGTGCTGATGTCAACTAGGGATTTGAGGTTGTTTTCAGACAATTCATGAGGCACACATTTTCCAAGTTTAGGAACTTTTCCAAGTTGTTGAAGATGACGATGAACAGTTGTATGGTTTGAACTGAGAACCGCTGCCAGTTCGTCAACTGATAAAGGGCTGCTTCAAGAAGCTTTTCATCAAACTCAACTGGACGTCCAGTTCGATCTTCATCTTCAAGGGTGAAATCTTCACCTCTGAATTTTGCAAACCATCTTCTGCAAGTTCTTTCATTCACACATTCCTCTCCATAAACTGAGTGAATGTTTCTAGCCGCTTCGGCTGCTGAGTTTCCTTTCTTGAACTCATAAAGCATTATGTGCCTCAAATGATTCTTGGGTACTTCCATGTTAGCAGGGTTTTAATGAGACCAAATTTAATTTTATTGTTCTCTGAAATTAAATTTGATCAGTTTAAATGCATCTAAACATAAAAATAATGTTCAGCTCCATTAGACATTATAAAATACTGTTTAAATTTCGTTCATTTTAACAAAAAGTGAAAATTCGGACAGAACTTATGGGATGACTTGATACTTCGATGCTTCCTCCTTTCTATCTTGTTGGAAGTACACCGTAGTTCCTGTTTTTAACGAATCTGGAGAACCTTCTAGCTCCTAAAACTATCGCCATATTAGTTTCTTACGGCTTTTCGGCAAGGTATTCGAGGCTTTAATCCAGGGGTCGGCAACTCATTCGACCCCGCGGGCCGGATCGTGTTATAATGACGGGTCGTGGGCCGGACGAAGGCCATTAATGAAAAATTAAGGAAAATTACATATGCAGACCCCTGTCAACCTAAATATTTAAAACCATAATGAAAATAAACATTGAGAAATCAGAAAAAAAAACAAAAGAAAATCTAAAATTAAAAAAAACACCTAACAAAAATTACTTTTCCTCAAGAAACGTCAAAATACTTCAAAGTGAAAAAAATCAACCGAAGTGAAATGGATGAAATTATGACATGTAGGTTTGAAACTGCTATTGAAAATTGTTCCACAAACGAACCACACACACACACACACACACACACATCAAACAAAAACGAAGCATATATACCCATACATACGAGTACAAATAGTTGCAAACATATACACTTACGTACGTACACATGCGGTATCATCCACACATTCATGAGCCATGTATGTATAATGCGCGTATGTTTAGCTGTCTTTAGATTTCTGCTACCTCGCATGTCAGTCCCTCCCTGGCCTCTTTCACTTTAACGTTCCTTTCGCTTCTGTTATCTTTTAATGTAGCCAAAGGGTCATAACAAATATGTATCCATTATTTCACATTAAACGTAGGCAACGCAACTTGGTAAAATAAGTCTCATGAAAGATAACTGGCAGATAGTCTAATATTTTTAGTGCACTGAGATATGTAGACATTCTATGGAAAATGACATAACAAATTTCATTTGAAGGTCGTCTCTCATGTTAAAAATAGAGTCATTGGTGATCAGGCTCGCGGGCCGGTCAAAATGCCTTCGCAGGCCGGATCCGGCCCGCGGGCCGTAGGTTGCCGACCCTTGGTTTAGTCAATGATGAAGTGATTGAGCATCTTACATCTCACGACCTACTCTGTGACAAACAATATGGCTTCCGTTTTGCCAGATCTACCACTGATGTGTTAACGGCCACCACTGAATATTTATATCAAGCTCTTTATAATAACGGC